GTTACAAGGAGGAGGGGAAAAGAGACAGAGGTGGCTATAGACCCATTTGGGCCTATCCAGTGAAATGTTTCTTTAAGTACCCTTCATATCCTTTACTTTTTTACGTTGTGACAAAGTCCCTGCAAGTTGGTGTCAGCCGTAGTCGTCGTCATGGATGAAAATAGATCATGTTAAATAGTCCTGGTGGCTGCATATCCTTTTAGATTCAGCAGCCTTTCAACATCCTAACTGAACGTATAGATTGCAGATTTCCTGGACACGTTCTTTACCAGTGAATCCAAAATTCTCTAAAGAAGCAAAGTAACTTAAAACTGTTAAAAGTGATGCTTGTTGTGACCTTTCTTCTTGTCCATTAGCAGTTAATGACTCAACACTCCACAGGCTCAGCAGCCAGAAGGCTGTGCGGACATGTCTTGACATGCATTAGAGAGGGAGCACATGCTTCTCAGTAGCTATTTAGGATTAATGTTGTTAACAGCTAATTGCTGTAGATAGTTGTGCGGCCCAGGTTCGTGTCTGACCTGTTCCAGTTTGCTTTGATGAGGAGACTATTTAAAGGGGGCCTGTTATTCTCATTTACAGTTCCATATTTTTATTCTTGGACTCCACTAGACTAGCTTTGCATGATTCAGCTAAAAGACATCCTCATTTGTCTTGTACAGGGTGTTGGTACAGTTCATCCAATGTTTGAAATGAGCTTTTTTAGCTCCCACCCCATCATTGCTTAAAGCCACTAAATGTCAGTGACCTTCTGTGGTCTCTAATTGTCACCACACTTGCTGTGTGGACTTCCCTTAAGAGGACAATATTAGGAACATCCTCTCTCTTTTAGCTAGTTTTCTGGCAGCATAATTACAAGGATGGTGGCTCACTTATTTAGCATTGTAGGTTAAAAAAAGATAACTAAAATTGTAACAAGGTAGTTAGATAATTTATAACTTCATCCTATTGCTTCTATTAACAGTTTTTACATGTGAAAAAGATTTAAAAAGCTGAAATTGAATAAATAACCGGGAAAATGTTGTGACCTAGTTCTGTATTACCTGTTCAGCTAATATCCGTCCTCTTAAGTTAATTAGTTGTATGCAAAATCATTTGTTGTGATATGTGAACGGGGTCATCAGTGATTGAATACTATAGTGATCTTATAGAAGCATCACTTTCTGCTCATGCTGGAAGGGGGGAGGCTCCCTGTTTCTCACTTTGTCTCCATCCTCCTCCCTGCTTTGTGCAGAGGTGCACATACGCAGCTGTTATGTCTTCATGAGCACAAAATTACAGATTAGCATGGTTGGATGGTACAAAAAAAGCTGTTGGCTTAAAAAAAAGACCAGAAAAAGTATAACGAGAAAGAAGTTCCCAACATGCTTTGTAGATTTAAATGCTGATTAACATAAAAGGGTTACAACTGGTGTCAAACAGCCTGTAGATCAGATTTGGGTTTCTGCAACAAGAGAAGCCTGACTGTTACATCCTGGTGTTAGAGTTAAGCTAGCTTTCCTGTAGCTGCAGTATGTTGTTCTTCCTTGTGGTTGAATCAGATCAACTAAAGTAGCATTGTCCTCTTGCCCCCTTGATACTGCAAGGGCAGATGGAGGATGGGCGTAGAATGGCCTCCCTGTCGGTGTGCATGTCTGAGAGAGGGAGAGGGACTGATTATGTAAGTGTAACTCCTTTTTTAAAATAACAACGCATTTAAAATATAGGTTTCAATAACCAAAAAAGGATAACAATGACTGTTAAGAAATTGCTGAGTATATTTATAGTCCTCAAGCTCATTTTGAAACCTGCCACAATCTCCACTTTTCCTTCTTTTCTTCAAGAACATCTCCTTCGTGAATCTGTACTTTTCAAGCATATGCACGGTGGCGTAATGGCAAGTCGGACATGATCAGTTCACACAGATTTGTTTTCGCCTCGCTTTGCGTCCATGTGGATCGGTATTGTTTTGCCTGTAGTTACATCTTCCATTCAGATCTGTATCGGTGCTGCTTGTCGCATTGTGTAATGCAGCCGCTTTGGAACATTCACTTCATATGCACTTCATGTAGGATTTGTTCCAACTGAGATAGTTTACTACATGTAAATGAGGATTTGCTTATAAGTCTGTCAAATTCTGAATCACATCAGTTGTTTTCTTTTCTTTTCTTTTTTTTGTCCATTTTGATCCACCACAAAACAATCGAATCTTGAAATGTTTCATTTTGGTGTGAGCATGTACTGTAGGTCATGATGTTGTGTTGAAGTGGTTACTGTAGAAACCATTGTTAAATTACTGCACAGCCAACCAAGCGTCACATTTAATTGCCAGTGCCTTCTCTGTATATTTCACTCTTAAATACATCTATCCAAGTGTTGTTTGGCATTCATTATCCATGCTTGCATATACATGTGACATGAAAATTGCCACGTCCGTCTGATCAGTTGCCTTAAGCAGTTTCCTATCCATTTACTCCCGTAGCTACAGAGATACTCTAGAGGAAGTTAGGGGAAAGATGGCTTTGTTTTGCTTTCTTTAAAACCGTTTTTAAAATGGTTCTTGTCAATGTTTGTTGAGATCAGGCATTGTTCAGATGACTGATTACACAAGTTGTCTTACACAAGGCACTCCCGGATTTGGTAAATGAAACACTGTAGTTTGTGTAACTGTGAACTAAACAGACCTGTGTCACATCCCTTCTCGTTTAAGCCTCAACTGTTGGAGTTTTAGCACACACAACAGATGAAGGATCAGTTGGGCATTATTCAGGCCTTCTGTGTTTGACCAAATAACTCCTATTTCATCACATCTGCTTCTTCGTGCATTTTTAATGTCGTAAACGTGTAACATAGATGATTTCTGTAAGTCAGTACTTTTGTGACCTTTGCACTATAAACTCGCTGCACATAAACACAATAAATCAATATGCAACCAGTCAGATATGTTACAGTGGTTAACTATCCAGACACACTGCTGCTAACTGCTAGCACACAGTTCACTTAGTAAATAACCTTTTGACCAGAAATGTGTACTTTTTAAATGTCAGGGAAGTCTTCATTTTCTTCTTCTTCTATCTGTTATTCTTTCCCTCTTTGTCCTCTAATTCTTCACCCGTGAATTTCAAGGTCAGAAGCCTGCTGCTGTGTCAGGTGTACTGAGTGGTTTCAGACTGGTAAATCTGGCCAGTGACCAGGTCAAGACCTGCAGGGTCTGAGGTAGAGAAGCCAGCACAGGATATTGCCTCAGTAAGCCACCTGGGTAACTGTTGGTTACAGCACTCCTGACTGTTTGTGCAGCTTAGAAATAATGATGCTGTTATCTGAAGGCACATTATTAAAACTGTCTCTGTGTATGTCCAGAAAATCTTCTTTGCAGAGTGTGGTTTTACATATCGCTTTAACCAAAACAACGCTACTTTTTATGTAAAATCAGACCTGTAAATGACCAGTACATGGGGTTGTAAGCTGGTTTGCGCTACGAATATTAGACTATTAGGCCGTTTGTTTTTACCCGATAAGCCTGTGCTTTAAATATTTGTAGTTGGATGCCCTGCGTCAGCTTACATGGGCTCCAGCTCTCCTGTGACCCTGAATTTGATAAGAGGTTAAGAAAATGGATGCACGTTTGGAAAATACTGTAGCTCTGGAGTGGGCGGCACAGTGGTTAGAGCTGTCGCCTCTCAGCAAGAAGGTCCTGTGTCTGCATGTTTCCCTTTTGCCTCCAGATACTAAATCTTCCTCCTACAGTCCAGTGATATCCATGTTAGGTTAATTGGCTGTCTCTGTGTTAGTGCTGCTATATACTGGCGACTTGTCGAGGGTCTACCTCTCCTCTCACACCATGACGGTTGGGAGAGTCTCCAGACCTCAGACCCCAACCCCAATCCTGAATCGGATTAAGAAAATGGATGGATGTATAACTGGATGGATGGCGCTCAGGAGCCTAAAGATCATATTCAGTATTTACATGAACCTTTGTTGGTTATATTCTACAAAGGCCAAGGGTTGCAGTACATGCGTGAAAACCGCTAACATCTGAATCTTTAATGAAAATATGATACAGAAAATATTGAGTGTGAACTAGAGGAAGTGCAGT